GCGTGCGGTGAGCCAACGCGAATAGGGATGCGACCGGCGGCGGTGGCTCAGGGCATCAATTCATGTCAATGCAGTGCCTCTGACCGGGAAGTCCTAGGGTTCGAAGTGGCAGGATTTTCGACACTAGCTACAGAGCTAGGTCGAATTCAGTCGCTGTCTGGAGGACAATTCTGGTCCACTGCTTCGATCGATAGCTCGCGTGTTTTCTCCGATCAACACCAGGCGAATGTCTGAGCAGTCCCCAAACAAACGGACCACGCACAGTGCGCGATCTTTCTTCCTTGTTCTATCCTCACCCTTCACTTACACACACACTTATATACACCACAATACCACACATGCTGAGAGCAGTCGGAGGCTTAGAGCCTGTCCCGACTGGGGCTGTGCCCTGCTGGTGAGAGATACCTGGTTAGGGCAAAACGTCTGCTTGCAAAAGCCGACGAGGTCAGCGTCGGATCTAGGCACCCAGCACGAGAAGTTCTCCGCCAACTTGCGCGAAAACATGAACTACACTTACGGGACTGCCGTTGATGCGCCCGGAATCTCTAATCAATCAATTAGGAATAGTACATCGTCAAGAAAACATTGATGGGTCAAAACCTTCAAGTAAAAAGTTAGAACATTGATGTAAACAATACATCAGCTAAACACAATCATTGGTTTACATCGATATTTTTAGAAGTGGTTTAGTAACCTCTAACGTTTACGTTAGCGCGGGAGAGAATTTATTTTGGCAGTGGCCATGTTTATTAACTTATAATAAATAAACAGGACCACATTAACAAACAACGTACATTCAATTCCAGCCTACATATTTTCATTATTATGAAATTGGCGCTGAGTAGTGTTGGTCTGTTGTTTTCAACAAACTTGACCGAAACAAATCAATATCATTGTAGGTTTTTCGATGAACATGAGAGGGTGATGACAAACCGTCGTATTCTTCCACGCTGGATTTTCAAAAAAAGGATGTCTTTTGGCACAAAGGATTTTCTTTCCTTTGAACTCTTTTCAAATGTTGTTACGTTGTAAAACATTTTAATTAAGACATGTTAATAACAAAACAAGGTTAAAAACGATGAAAGCAAATAATGTAGAGAACGTTGCTACACAACAGCAACACATCAACAGTTGTGTGAACTGAAAGCAGAATGCTGGGCATCGCCAATCAGCGTGGGCAACTAAAGGTAGCTCGCACACAATGGCACATTCTTGTTCTTTTGTAAACTATTTATTTTTGCCTGTATTATATTTATGTAGTACTAGAGAAAACATAACACGGTACGTCTAGAGGTTATGGCAGTAGTTGAATAAAAACAATCTAAATTTACCCCTGATAACACAATTCATAATACATAGAACACTACTATGCACTTCCCTGTCACGTTCTTTCGGAAAAAGTCATGTAGATATGTATTTATGTCTTGTATCGCTCTAATTTAAACATATTCCATCCATTTTAGTTACAACTCATTTGTTTAGATTGTTCGTAACGGACTGCGGACTGTTAAATCCTTAACAAACGGTTGCCGTTAAGAAAGGCTTTTCGTTCCTCCCTGGCTGGATTAAGTCGATAATAACAGTACATTATTACGAAAAAATAAACAACATTTGGGTAACCCATTACGTTAATACAATATTTTGCATTTTCATTCCTGATATCATTGCTTCTCACCTTCAATAAACTACTTCACTGCCGGTCCGGATGGCCGAGATCAATAAGACAGTAATACCGTAGCGCCCTCGGACTGAAGGATCGCGAGCCCCGCCACGGGCATGGTGGTATTTGTTTCGTATTTTCACCCCCATCATCACCATATCGTGTCATCTTCACAGTTACTATACCGTTAAATGCAATGGTGATCACTAATGACCTAGATGTTCATGCGACCTTAAATAACAAAACAAAAAAAGTACTTCAAATAACTACAGGATTAACATTTTACGTAGTAGTGTTTATTATGGGAAGATACTATATTGCTTAAAAATTCACTTAAATTGTTTTCATTCCAGGAAAAATCTCTATGTATGGAGCATGGAAAACGGAGAATTAGTGAAAATTCTAGATGCGCATTTTGGAAGAATCATTGCCTTGGAGCCCCTCACCATTGGAAACTGGAATTCTGTAAACACTTTTCGTTATAATTAATTGCCATTGAAATACCACAGAAACTACTTCCGTTCATATGTTCATATTAATTTTACCAAAGAAGTATATTGAAAGTAGTATTGAAAATTTGGTTATTTATGTTATCGATATTTTTTCACAATATCATACGTGCAAAAGCAGTTTGGTCACTTCTGCGATGTAAGAGAGCTTCTTTTTCAATTCAACATTTTGAGGGAAATTAGATGTAGTTGTTAAATAAGATCTTATTTGAATAACCATTTCCTTCGCCATTGCTAGACTACGTATCTCTTGCAGGTAATAACGTCGTCGATAGACAGAACCGTGAAGGTGTGGAACATCAACAACATCTTCGAGCAAGTGCACGTGATCGACCGGCACGAGGTGCAGGTGGACGCGATCGGGCTGTGCCAGTCGGCGGGGCTGGCCGTGACGGTGACGCGCGGCTGCGTGGGCATCTGGGACCTGCAGATCGGCCGTCTCATTGCGCGCCTCGCGGACAGCCCTCTGGGGGCCATCGTCACGCACGCGCTCATCACGCCCTGCAGCAGGTAGCCCTCGTCACCCCCGCGTTTCCCCAGCGCCACCGCCGGGTCACCCACGCGTCAACTCCGCGTCACCCCCTAGTCACCTGCTAGTCGCACCCGAGACGCCTCCGCATCACCCCCTACTCACCCGCGAGTC